CTTCAATTTTCGGGACGAACTCACTGTCTGTGACGGTCTGAGGTTCAAGGGAAGTCGAATCCTAATCCCTTCTTCTCTCCGGAAGGAGATGCTGGAGCATGTCCATCGCGCTCACCTGGGTGCAAATTACACCATTAATCGAGCAAGAGAACTGATGTTCTGGCCAGGAATGACAAGTCAGATCAAGGATCATGTGTCGAACTGTGATGCGTGCCGTTCACACGACATCCGGCAAACGAAGGAACCGATGGTGCTGCATGATGTTCCGGACCGACCGTAGCAAAAGGTAGCAGTGGATCTATTCTGGGACAACGGAAAGGATTACTTACTCACGGTGGACTACTATAGTGATTACTTTGAAATCGATTTACTCACCACCACGACCACGGAGGCAGTAATCAACAAACTCAGATGTCAATTCGCACGGCACGGGATACCGGAGGAGCTAGTCTCGGACAACGGTCCCCAGTTCAGCAGCAGGGCATTCCAGGTTTCCGCAACCAAATGGGAATTCACACACCGGCAAACCAGTCCCTATCACAGTCAATCAAATGGGAAGGCAGAGTCGGCAGTGAAGCAAGCCAAGCGACTATTAGCGAAAGCTCGAGACACTCGGGAGGACCCATACCTCATGCTACTGGAGAGTCGCAACACTCCTTCAACGGATATCGGCCTGAGCCCAGTGCAGCGCCTATACAGTCGAAGGACCAGAACTGTGATGCCTGCATCCGCAACACTTTTGCGCCCTGTCACGCCACAATTTGAGAAAGTACAGAACAATTTGAGAAGGCGAATGGCTACTCAGAAACGGTACTACGACAACGGCGCACGGGAATTACCTGAGCTGACAGTGGGGGAAGAAGTATGGGTTGAACCAATTCCCGATGGACAGGAGCGGTGGAGAAAAGGAGTCGTGGCTGCGAAAGTCGGTGAAAGGTCATACGAAGTAAATGTTGGAGGGAAGAAGCTGAGAAGAAACCGAGTACAGCTGAGGAGATGTCCGAGGCGACAGCATGAATCAGGGAGACAGCGTTATACTGCGTGCGGCAATGAGGCGACATCGGCAGATCCAACAAAGAGGACGCGAAGTGGTAAAGTGTATGGACTATTTAGCAAAGTACAGCAGCGAAAGCATGAAAAAAGGGAGGATGTGATGGGAGTATACACTCGAACGAACGTGCGGTGCCAGCCCAGCAAGGAAGCCGTTAGGCTGCCGCAAGCAAAGGCGGCAGCCGATTGGACGTTCACACGTTTCTCGCATGCACGCTGATTGGCAAACAGCTGGACGCATTGGAGTGAGTTTGTTTGACTGAATCAAAGGAAAAATGTCATGCATCAACAAAGGTCGTTAATTATGGATCCAACTAGCTGTATATACCGATATGTTTCACTCGCCCGTCTGTCTCCGTTTTCGCCTGGTCCTGTTGTTGGCAGAATATACGTTTTGTCCCTGAAGGACCGACTTTTTACAAGGGCCATCAAAGAGATGCCTCCTCCTACTGACATGAAAGCCGTTAACAAGCTGAATAGGATGGTAAATTACCTAAGTCGTTTCTTGCCCAGATTAACCGATGTAATGGTACTGATTCGGAAACTGACGCACAAGGGTGAAAAGTGGCATTGGGACGCGGAGCAGGAGACAGCATTTCAGAAAATAGAAGAATTGATCACGAGCGCCTCCGTTCTCGCTTACTATAACCCAGCACTTCCACTTGAGATACAGTGTGACAGCAGTCAGTTTAGTATCGGAGCCGTAGTCATGCAGAACGATAAGCCTATCGACTTTCGCAGCCGGATGCTGACAGAGACCGAGTGTCATTACGCGCAAATAGAGAAAAAAAATGCTCGCATTGGTTTACGCTGTAGAGCGTTTTATTGACTATATGTTTGGCCGCAAATCTACCGCCTTTCCCGACCACAAGCCCCTGGTATCGACGGCCAGTAAGCCGCTCCATGTTGTTCCACGCCGTCTGTAAAGGATGTTTATTCATCTGCAGAAGTATGACCCAGAGATTGTCTACCGGCCAGGATCTCAGATGCACCTTGCGGATACGCTATCAAGAGCGCACCTGTCAAATATGCCCGGAAAGGAAGCAGACCCAGACTTTGACCATGCAACAGTTGATAATCGTCACTGTGGAACGCTTGCAGCAGCTCCAACGGTCCACTGAGGAGTACGAACTGTGCAGGCTACTGATGCACATGATAATTAACGGATGGCCCGAAGACAAGAAAATGCTACCTAAGGAGCTGGGTCCATTCTTCCATTTTTGCGATGAACTCATTACCCAGGATGGATAGTAGTTCCAAAGGCACTGCAACGTTCGATGTTGGAGCTGATACACTGTGCATATTCATGAACCCACAACTGCGTAGAAAGAGCTAGAGAGCTGTTGTTCTGGCCCGGAATGACCGGCCAAATACGTGTGGCATGCAGGACACAAAACGTACGCCAGGCAAGGGAACGGATAATGTTCCGTGACGTTTCTAAGAGACCCTGGTAGATGGTTGCACTGGACATTTCTTCTCACGACGGAAGGAACTAGTTGATTGTGGTAGATTAGTTTAGTGACTACTTCGAGATCCATGCTCTTACGACGAGTAGTACGCAGGACGTGGTGAACAAGTTGCGATGCCAATTCGTTCGGCATAGAATACCCGAGGTGGTGATTTGTGACAACGGGCCGCAATTTAATATTGTAGTTTCGTGCATTTAGCAAGAAGTGGGATTTACGTCACCGGTTAACCAACCCATACCATAACCAAACAAACGGTAAGGCTGAGTCCGCAGTAAAGGATGCGAAGAAAAAGTGTACAAAAGTCAAGGAGACGCAGGAAAATCCCCACATAATGCTATTGGATGGAAAGAACACATCACCTACTGATATCGGAGCGAGTCCCGCACATCGTCTATTCAGTCGCCGAACAGGAACGCTAATACCGACCGCCACAACTTTACTGCAGCCCGAGATAGCGCCGGCCGATGTTCTTCCTGACCGACTACGGAACAGAATGTTGAACAAAAAGCAGTACGATGAGCGCGGACCAAAAAGGCTCTCACCGCTAGCTAAGGGAGAAGAAGTATGGGTGCAGGCAGTACCGGAATTCAAAGGATACTGGACGGAGTGATCGAATGCCGGAAGGGGGAGAAGAGCTATGCAGTCAAGGTTTGGGGCAATATTCTTCGAAGGAAGAGCGCATCATGGGTGGACACCGCAAAGAGAGGATTAGCAACAAAAACCGTAGATGAGTACTGCTATCTAAACACAAGACATTAAACGCACCCGAAGTGGAAGTCAATAAGGAACACACTGTAATATCATTCTAAAAAACGAAAAAGGAAAGGATGTGATGGGGGTTGGAAATGCTGTGGTGGTAAGATGCCACAATTAGATGCCAGTTGTTTGGCTATCGACCGAGTTAAACGATTTCGGGTCAACACTCTGAAAGATGATCGATCGCTACAAGAGGCAGACTGAAGGATAGCATGCAATCGATTTACATCGACATGAACGCAGCTCGAACGCTGGCCAAGAATGAAACAGCAGGAATGTGTTTGTGAATGGTTCTAATTGACTCGAGAGATAAAATGAACTTGTTCTATGAATAATAGATTTCTGATCGAGGCTCAGACTTTGACTTTTTTGCTTCACAGAGGGTCACTTGACAGTATGCTGCACGAATAGTAGCTGTCAGAAATAGATTTCGTACAACCCGGGAGGCTGGGAAACAACACGGTTCTAGGCGCACAGTTAAGACGTCTTCCTAGTCCGAGAACAGACTTCACACACGACTCCTACCCAGAGATAAGAACAAAAGACAGACCCTTCGCCCAAGGCTCTACTCGCCAGACCAAACAACTAGAGCGTTATTCAGCCTTGCTTATATACAACGATTAGTGAAATTTTATCGTAGAATGGTAAGCAAGACCTAATTAAGCACTTGACCCTTCCGTTAAAAGTAACGGAAAATGAATGTCAATAATCGAAAGTGAGCGAATTGGCAATATGTGGCAATATGGGTCGGTAACGGAACATGATCTGATTGAATGTTGATAACTGGCCGGATATGTTTCGTGTGCATGCGGCGGACTGGAATGTGGACTGGTCTTGTGTGGTTCCGCCTAACGTCACGTTGGGATGTTCGGTCCCCATAACAGTTGGATGGCGCACATTCGGCTACTAAATAGTATGTAGTTGACCAGAGCAGCCTCAGTCCGAAAGCCTTAAAGTGATATTCACAAAGGCTTGACTGACATTTGAAGACGTTCTATAGACACAAATATGACTGTACCTTCAGCGTTACGTGGAAGCAGTCGTAGAATGAACGAAGAGATATAATCTTGCAGGCGTGTTTCCGATAAGCAGCAGAGATCGACCAGTAGGGACTCTAATGGTTAGGTAAGTGCCAACTGTTGACCGCTCAGTAACAATGCGCATGTCGAGGATTACAAGTAATTGTGAAAAACAAAGGCTCGAAACAGAAGCGGATGGAATGATACTATTCACCTGATTGAGATTGAGCAGTAGAATTCTCACCCTTATCCACCCTGCTCGATGCAGCAGATAGGGTGCCGTTGACTCATATCTGCAACAGCCAGAGTAACAAAAAGTTGCTTGAAGAGTTCCCTGTATTACGCGAGACAGGGTAACGATCAGAGTTCACAAACACAGCCTTCAGATCAAAGACCTTGACCGCAAGGCAGCCGGAGTTTGGCAGTGGGCTACAGGAGTGCATCCAAAGGAAAAGGAAGTCACCTTTACTCTAACCCCGAACCTGAAGTTTATTTGACTTTAAACCATTGACAAATCTGATATGAGTGGTTCTGGGGGTGCAAAAAGCATTATTCATGATAGCTCGATGGATCATTGGGGCAAATTAACCAACGCACTACGTTAAAGTTCAGTTATGACGCAATGGATGCCAGTTAAAGAGTATTTGTCATCAGAAGACAACACATAGATAAAATCAAATGGCATATCGGTAACCGGAAATCTCACCTGTGGGAGCGATGAAATAAATGAGTGCGTGTATCCGTTGATCGGTAAGAGAGTTGGATGAACGAGAGACGCGACTTTCTCCCCTGATGTACTCATCAAACTGGGCATCAATGTAATCGATAATCGGCTGCCAACAGTCAGTGTTATCAACGGCGTCGCCAAAACCAGGAGTGTCTACCAGTCTCAGCTTTAAGAAAACCCCCTGTTCCTAAAGGAAAGTTTAGTGACAAACTAACATACCTTGAGTAAAAACGTTTGTGTCTGAATTGAGGGAGTACTTTTCACCCGATAACTAGGGCCAGGGTAGTCTGAATTGTACACTTCGCTCAAAAATAAGGAATTAATGAATGTAGATTTTCCCAATCCTGATTCGCCGACTACCATCAGGTTAAACTCGAAACCGCGACGAACAGCTCGCCGATATATCTGATTCGGAAGATTTGAGAAGCCTACATAATTTTCGGGAACATTCGCAGAATCCGAATGCCGCCCCGAATAGCCATTGTGGAGTGCAGTAAGGCCATTGCAAGACTCTTTTACTAACGACAAATCTTTCGAAGGTTTCAAATAATCAACATTGCTTAGTATATCCTTTGCGGCAAACATAGAACGCTTGCTTAATCCAACATGCGCCGGAGAATGCTAAGGAAAAGGTGTTCACAAAACTGAAAATCATACGTAAGACATTCGATGAACAACGGTAAATGCACGGGTCGGAGTGACTCTAGAGAGCTGAAAAAAAGAAGTATACTAGAGATCAGTCAAATTGGAGGCCGCATGCCAAATCACATATGGAGTAAAAGTGAAAGCAGACTGCATATACGGCAATGTATCGGCACAAATCAGAAATATTGAGTGACAATAGATAATAAATGGATAGTAAAAGACGAGACGTAGCTCTTCTGGGGTATGACGCAGTAGCTATGTAAACACTACTGGATGGACTGACGCGTACTGCTGCACACTTTGGTATGTGCTTTGCACCTCCAAAGTGCAAAGTACTGTTGGAAGGCTGGAGCGACAAGCCACCGGCTTGAGCTATCACCAAATAACTACTAGAACAAGGTGGATAGATTAAAGTACCTTGGTAGCTGGGTCACCTCTGGCGGCCACATAATTAAGGTAGTTAATTCACGCATCAGCAAGGCCCGTGTGGCTTTCCAGAGACTCAATCATCTATGGAGGCGGCGAGATATCAGCCTCAGTGAAAGGTAGGATGTATAACGCTGCGGTAAGGCCAGTCTTACTGCATGGATCAGAGACCCAACTTATTCGCAATGAGGACATTAAACGATTGACCGTGTCACACCACCGTTGCCTGCTAAGTACTGACCATGTCTGGCAAGTCAGGCATCAGCAGTATGACGGTATGTAATACCGACGTTACGCTGCCGTGCAACCACCACTCGTCGCACGTGGGCTAAGGATACTGCGAGGGTCGCCCTGCTCTTATGCAGGCTCTAACCCGCGCCGTCAGATTGCAAGACAAGATCGCAGAAAGCTTATCTTGACTTGATTCCATGTAGAAGATCGATCTAGTATAGCCTAAAAGTACAGACTGAGAGAAAAAACTGCGGACCTCATCAGTATGCACTTTGTGCATCTGGCGGTAAGATCGGCCAACAGGCATCACTAACTCTCGCTCTCCTGGTATTGATGTTCGTTGTCTTCAAAACAGGCACAAAAGATAGTAGTGTCATGACTCCGAAGTTCCGAATCTGCCGATACAGACTGCAGTGTTCGCGTCTACAGCGATAATGAGTCAATGGCTTCAGGTTTTTACGGTATGATATCGGGTCCCTAGCAAAAACTCGGTAGACAATCTACTCGACTCCTTATGCGTGTGGTTCGACTTCAAACATTTTTGGGCTGAAAAAAGCACCGCCTGAAGACAAGGAGACATGAGTATCCAAGTGAGTTGCTTGTCAGACAACAAACAACACAAAGGAGGTCGCTTCGAGATTGAAGCATGCAGAACAGACAGCAACGATCGATTCCTGCAACTATATGCTGACCATCGTTTTTAGCATGAAAGTCCACATGGGAGTACCAGGCAATCAAAGGTATTCCTTAAATACTTGGACTCAAAGTAAATATGTTGCCAGCAGCTGTAGATGATACGCGACAGTCCATGACTGTCGGCAAACCTGGAGAACGTGCTTGGATTCCGACTATGCTTGAGTGCGCCAACAATTAGCGCTTACTCCTCTCGTTTCGAAGAAACCCATGGCTGGTAAGCTTCTCATTTAAAACTCGAACTCGCAGCCCACAGCTTTACAAATATTAGGACAAAATGGCCTATCAATTACCAGTGATCAACGAGGTTGGTGAGCCGAATGATGACTGAGATCATCTCAACAGTGTCATTAAGAATGCGCTTGGTGTATGCCGTACTTTTAGCTTGAGACATTCGAACTGTGTATGGATTAGTTTGACCGAAGCACGGAAACAGGCTCCAGTAGGCAGAATTTCAGTGTGTCCGAAACGCCATGAAACGACAGCTGACAGTCTTCGAATTGAACGGGAACGTTGGTGAGTGATAAGAGCCCATAATATGGAGAAAGTTAGGGTATTTCAGCTCAACCGGAGTATGGGTCCAAGAAAGCCATCCGTCAGCGAGACCATAACTGAGAAAGACGGACATTTGATGCATTCTCATCCGCGTCGATTAGACCACTGAAGGGAATATTTTGAAGAGCAGTTCAGCAGGTCTGCTGAGACACGGCTGCCTGCCGAATCGCCTGAGCCGACGTGATAAGTTGGAAGAGATTCGACATGAGTTCGCTGTGTTGAAACGAAATAAGGCTCCTGGATCCCACGATCTTCCTCCAACCTTTCTGAAAGATTGTAGTGACTATTTGTTGTTTGGACTCGCTTTTTTATGTAACACGATTTGGTACAGTGAAGAGGTGCTTCAGACTGACAACTGTCGTGCCTATCTACAAGAAGGGTCAGCGCACTTTGTGCGAGAATCATCGTGGCACCAGCATTGTTTCTGTTGCATCCAAACTTCTCATGAGCATCATTCTCCGACGACTTACTGGTCTCCGGGAGAATCGAATCAGTGAAGGTCACTGGTTTCCGCTGTGATCGTGGTCGTATCGACCATATATTTACTCTCCGACGAGTTTTAGAGCATACACACATACGACCGACTATGGTAGTTTTCCGTGACTTGATAGCTGTCTCCGACTCTGTTGGCTGCGCAAGCTTGACACTGCCTATCCAGAAAAGGCTTGCCAGATAAACTCTTCACCATGCTGAAGTTTCTCTACCATGACTACTGAGGCTGTGTAAGGGTCTATAGAAAATTGTTTCCAGAACTCCCCACCGCAAGTGGGGTTCACCAGGATAGTACTATGTTTCCTCTCATCAACTTTGTGACCGAAATGATCATGATTGGATCGGTTCGTTCAGACTAATTCAAAGTGAAAGTTCTTCACAGTGACAGACCAACAAACCTCGAGTATGAGAATGACATAGCTCTCCTTTGGTCTGAAGCATTGGTTATGCAAACACTGCTGGACAGACTGGTGTGCAGCGATGTACGCTTCGACATGTGCCTTGCACCTTCAAAGTGCAAAGTACTGTTGCAAAACTGGACCGATATGCCACCGGTTTTGGCCATCACCGAATAACCACTGGAAGTAGTGGATAAATTCAATTTCCTTGGTAGCTGTGTCAAATCTAAGGGTCACGTTACTGGGGAGAGAACTTCGCGCATGAACAAGGTCCGTGTAGCTCTCCCGACTCAACCATCTATGGAGACGGTTGGATATCACTGTCAGTGAAAAGCAGGATGCGACGATAAGGTCGTACTTACAGTACGGTCATTCATTATACACGTTAGCTAGAGTTTCATTGTGTCCGCTTCCAGCTGGAATATGCCGCGAGCATCGAAGAGACCCAATGTTCGGGTTGACCATTAGACTTACCACATGAGGATTTGCTTGCTGCTAGTAAGATCTGGAGAACATGCGACCAAAAACCATCAATTGTCTCCAGTGAGCGCTTATTCAACTCGCATATCAGCGTACTTTGATAGGCCAAACCCGCTGCTTTGCGGTCAGGTTTTTGAACGAAAAGCTTTGGTTGAGAACTCCAATTGTTCGCCTGTCTAGGCCTGGGCAATCTGACATTACCCTGCCCGCGCGATACAATCTCTCTCCAAACAAATTCTTACAGATCAGAGACCTGCCTTATTCGCAATGAAGACATTAAACGCCTGGTCGTGTTTGACCAGTGGTGTTTGCGAAGTATTGCCCGCGTGTGGTGGAAACACCAGGTGAACAATGCTGAGGTCCGCCAGTTGGTTTTGGGCAAGAAATCTGCTGGTGCCTCATTCGAGTGTCTGCCGAGTGTTAATCGCTTACGTTAGCTAGGTCATGTCCTCTGTACGCCCGTTGATCGGCTTCATCGTGGTTGAACCAAGCTGGGCGAAAGCGCGAGGTTGCCAGTCGATGACGTAGCAAAAAGGCTTGAAGGAATGGACTGAGAGACTTATTTCATTTCATTTCGTGTGACACTCGTGACTTATTGCTGATTGCAATATGAGGTGAACGTAGCCTCTCTCAAGTGCCTCTAGACGCCCCCTTGTACTGCTGCCGCCTTCAGGTAAGTGCACTGAGGTTCAGACAAGTCATCAAAGTTGATTCCAGAATAAAGGTAAAAGGATGTGACATCCAAATTTAAATGTTTGCGCACAGGCAGCAGTCTAGGCACTGATATGCTAGCGCTCAGAACGAAGGACCAGAGGAAAATAATTAATAACACACGAAGGAGTGCCTGGTGGTTCTACATACCTGTTAATTCTCGCTCACCTCGGACAAAAGACGACCGGACCGGCTCTGGTTTATCTTCTGACAGGAATAGCCTGCAGTTAATATAAGAGACAGCATTCATAGCGCGCACCAACGATAAGTCATCACTATTCCACTATGCTTATACTTCTTCGTTAAAGTGAGCATAGCTAGAATTCCCGTTCTTTCACCGCAGACATTAACTTAGTTGAGCTTATAAAAATCAGTGGACTTCATCGCACTAGTTCCCTGCTAACTTATACAGTTCCTTACTCCATCTTTGTCATCTTCGTGTCATCCTTATTCTATCGCTCATGTAAGTCGCGCTTGGGTACAGTTTCACTCTAGAATGATTAACTACTGACTTGGTGCAAGGTAAAATCTCTATTGCACCTGCCTAGAGCGGATAAGCCACATCTAACCTATCTTTATTGGGCATACTTAACTTGGTTGTATTTCGCGATGACTTCACGTGTTGCCCACTACACTGTTGTACTCAGTATGACCTATGATATTCTTGCCACCTCAAGTCTAGTTTGGTGACATATCGAGACGGTGAGCTACGACATTTTCCTCTTCGTATCACTATTCGGCCGTGATTCACATCACTATGTAAGCTCCATGGTATTACTCACCAGACTATTCTACCTACATTCTGCTCCTTGAAATCAATTTGTAGATTACATGATTCTAGCTTGACCAGCTGCCCAATGCTAACTAGCACGATGCTTTGAGAGCCGGTGTATTGCAGGATAATGATTCAGTTCATCCATGAGCTCATTCGTATTTGACGTGCGCGCGGAGTTTCCGAGCCAATTGTGTTGCTGATAGGGATCAACTCTAGGGTAGCGATTTATTGAGTATGTTTCCAGTTCGGTATATATATTTATATTGGCAACAGCCAACGAATAGGCATAGAACCATCAAAAACCA